ATTAAACTACTAAGGTCAAGTTTGGGAAGTGTAAAACAAGTTAAAAAATCAAAAAATTACTTAAAAGGTTAAAAAGTTATCGCTATTCACCAAAAGTAAAAAATTACGGCTGCACAACTCTCAATACTAATTTTCCTCTACACACTAATTTATACAATTTTTTTATACATATTTTTTCATAAAAAGTCAAAAAGTTAACCCAAACATCTATATTTTTTTCCCTTAACTTTCTAGTTTAAAAAGACAAAAAGTGTACTTATTTAAGACATTCCAAATAACCCTAAGTGTGTGCACTGAGAAAATATATGCACCAAAAAAACTATGTGTGTGGAAATAGAATTTCCAAAATAAATTAGCATTTTTGTTACCATCGATAGTTAATAATCAAATAATGAAAAAAAAAAATTTGAAATGAAAAAGTGAAGTTGGTCAATATTATTTCATAACCGCAAGGAAGACTCTTATAATTGTCAAGAAACTTAATGGAAGTCTAGGGTTATTTGGAATGACTTAAATAAGTGTATTTTTTATCTTTTTATAAAAAGATGTGTAGAAAAATAGAGAGATAATGTGATAAAAAAAATAAAAAAATAAAAAGATGAATTATTTTGTATATGCCACACTTGGCTTTAGTATAATTTTTTTTTTGCACAAGTTTCATGTGGGGCATTGAATGCCTCCCTTGGCTAATTGGACTATGATATTCAACATTTTGTTACTATCATGAAGGTATGAAACTTAAATTATTAAAAATTCATTTGGGTTAGTTTTATAATTATGATTTGATTGTGAAATTTTATTTTGAGTTATGAGTTTTGAGTTGAGTTTTTTAAAAAAAAAAATTTATTTGATTATGAGTTTTCAAAAGAGTTTTGGATTGAGTTTTGAGTTATGTGTTTGATTATAATTTGAGTGTGAAGTTGTGTTTTGAATTTAAAATATTAAAAAAATAAAATAAAATATTTAAAATAAAATAATGTAAAAATATTTTTATATATTTAAAATAAAAAATAAAATTTTCTTATACATTTTTAAATATTTAAAAAAATAAATCTAAAAAATTTCAAAATCCAACTCAAAATTCAAAAACTCAAAAATCAAAATACAACTTAAAAGCTCTTTTCAAAATTCAAAATTCAAAATTCAAAATTCAAACACTAAAAACTCTTTTTAAAACTCATATTCAAACAAAGTTTTTCTTTTTAAAACTTAACTCATAATTCTACACATAAATCTCTATTCCATACTCGAATTATGATTCTAAAAGTAAACCAAACGAAACCCTTATGTTTGCAAATAAATTAAGGGCTAATTACTCACAGGCCATAGACTTGTGCAATATTAAATCTCATAAATATTTGTATAGATTAAATAATCTTATAAGTATTAGTGACCTTTTCCAACAATAATTTTTTAAATTTGTCGCTAAAAATTGATAGTTAGAAATATTTTTAAAGATTGATATTTTTCAATGACGATTTTTTAAATTTGTCACTAAAAACTAATAATTAATAATGTTTTTTTTAGAAGAAGTTTTTAACTTTCGCTAAAAACTAATAATTAGTGACACTTATTTATGAAAACATCGCTAAAAATAAAAAATAAGATTTTGTGGTAACAATTAAAAGTGAACGATTTTTTAATGCACTAAAAAGTCGAGAAGACTTATTGGTACACCCATCTTTTTAATAGTCAGTTTCCCATAAATTAATGAGATATTTAACATCTCTCTCCAACATTTAGTAATGAAAGAGATCCACAATATTTTTTTTTGTATCCTAAGGTCCTTCATCCATACCCATATATCACATCCAGTCTCTGATTCTCTTTCATCTATCCTCTCTCTTCTTCACCCCTTATCTCTCTTCTTCACCCCTGTAGGATTTCAAATTTCTCCACAACAATCATTTTTCTTTCCTCATTTACCATAACTATCACCGGAGGAGATCGCTCATGTCTAGCAACGCATTCGCGAAGCCTCCTTCACCACCGCCAACGCTGTCGGTATGCGGCGTCATAAGATACGTTGCTGCCGTCTAAACTTGTTGTTGCGTCGGAATTGCAATCGCCATTACACTGTTTTGATGAATTTTGTGTAAGTTTTTTTTTGTTAAAACACTGGATGATAATCCCAAATTGAAGAAAGATATTGTAAAATAGAAATGTGGAAGTTGAAATTGGATATTATATCATTATAGCTTGGTAATGCGATTTTATAGTTAAAGGATATCTGCATGGTGCTTTATTTGGCAGTCCTCATATATGCTAAAAAAATTTCTCGCTTTCTGTGTTTGGAAAGGATTTATAACTCTCTACCAGTTAATCTAACTTCTACTAGTTAAGGGTCTATGTTTTGCATCTGACTCCTCTAAACTATGAAATCAATGTCATCCAACTTCACTGTAACAAGCGATCCAAGAAGACAACTCCATTATAGCAATCACAGATGTAGACGATGGAGAAGAACACAAGACACTACAACAAATGATACTTTTGGCGACTAAACTTTTAGTCGTCAAAATTCAATTTTTAGTCGTCGAAACTTTTTAGCGACTAAAATTTTTGGTCACCAAATAAGTCGTTAAATAATTGTCAGAAAAGATAATTGGTGACTAAAAAAATTTAGTCGTCGAAAGTCCTCAATTGCTCACTAATTTTATTTGTCACCAAAAGCTTCTGAAAAAAAAAAAATTAATATCTCATTTTCAGCAACATTTTGTCGCTAAAAAACTGCAATTATTTAGGATGACTAAAGTTTTAGTCACCATTTTTTTTTTTTGTTCATATTATTTTTTTTAACTACTAGATGTTTTAGTCACCTAAAATATGATTTTTTTTAGCTACCAAACTTTTAGTCGCCGAAAGTCTGATTTTATTTTTTGGCTATTAAAGTTTTACTTGCCAATTTTTTTTTTATTTTTTATTTTGTTTTAGCTACTAAAGTCTTAGTCGCTTAAACTCTGTTTTTTTTTTTTGGCTACTAAATATTTAATTGCCAAATATTTTTTTTCATTTTATTTTTTTTATCTACTAACTATTTAGTAAACAAAACGATACATATATCATCAACCATTCCTTAATTTGCAACCATTTCACTCCCAACCATAAAAAGAATAACTTTAAATTCAAATTTCATACAAACTAAGTATATTCTAACCTAAAATAATAATTTGATATAAAACAAAGAATCATACAAAAACCATGTCATCCGTACACAAAAAAATATATTCACTGCCATGCCAAATGGCCATTCGGCGTGGTACAAATTACCATGGCAATCTATAATACGACAACAAGTAATCTATATAGCACGCCAAAAATGATCTGTTCGATACCAAAAGTTATCTGTATGATTAATACTAATCCATAGAAAAACAGAGTGTGATACCCCTGTTCCGTAATACGTTAATTGGTCCTTAATATGAGTATGATGATGTGTCTAATATGATTTTATGTGCCATTTTGTGAATATATGTGATTTCGAAGTTCTATCTGTTCACCGTAGGAATATCTGTTTGAATAATCTGCTTTGAAAATTAAATTGAAGGCCTTATCGGCCACAGAACCCGAAATTGATTACACCATTGTGATTGGCATAATTTTTTAGAGCCTATGGTGAAATTTAATTAGAAATTGATTCTGGTCAGATTAAATTGATTCATTTAATGGCATTGTGCTCAAATTGTTTAATATTCTTAAATTGAGACTTAGTGAGATTTGTATATATATATATATAGAGTACAAACCAATAAACCAACTTCAATAAAACATACCAAAATACCCCACACCCTATGAGAAGCAGCATAGTCCACACCCTAGGGATCATCAATGAATAGTTCCAGAGATTTTCACCCTAGTGAAGCAACACCAAACCCCCCCTCTCCCCCCGCGACCCCGAATTAGGGCCTACTTGCCAACCTTTTAGAATTGACTTCAGTTTTTCTACAGCTGAAATGGCACTGACAATAGGATTAGCATTAATCTTAATTTTGGAAACCCCATAATTTACTTTTAAATTACTTATCGTATCAAGAGTTCCAATGATTGAGTAAGTATTTTATACTGCTCTAAATTATGATGCTATTAACATAATGTTGTAACAATGATTAAATTTTTTTTTTTTCATAAAATTGCAATTTTTAAAATGCTAAACATACTTTCTTTGATACTATCCTGTGCATTGCAATTCGCATTGTTCAACAGCTATAGAAATATTAACTTTGGATAGAAACTATAAGGGCAGTTTGGTTATAAACATAATTTCTTCCTCTTTTCCTCCTGCTACTTGACATAAGAAAACTTTAGTTTTTTGCCGGGGGATGTTGAATAAGAGCAAATCAACTAAAATCTCGGGACACATAACCAAGAGATAGATGTATCCTAGATGAAGATATTTGTTCTCCTATGAACTTAATGATTTTCTTGTTTTTTGAAAAAAAATATATGTATATAGATAAAACATATGAACATACCTTTCGGGGAAAAATAGATTGCAAGGTGACTTTTGGGGAAAAACATAGTTCCAGGTTTCAAAATAAGTAGACAGAAATGGAGACTTAGTTGATGAGATGTATTACAAGCAACTGGTGGGTAGTTCAATGTATCTCACTGCCATGAGACTGGACATGATGTTTGTTACTTGTCTCATAAGTACATATCTGGCAAAACCAATGGAAATTCATCTACAGGCAGCTAAAAAATGTGTAAAAAAAAATATTAGAAAATAAGTTTCCATGGTTTCCTATTGGTGAAAAATACAAAATTAAAGCCTACATTTTGCACTAAGTGAAAATATTTTGCTGTTATCCTTAATAAAATATTCTCTTGGAAGAAAAGGAAGACATTATTTATCATTTTAAGAAACTACTTTTAACTTAATAAAGTACAATCAGTCCCCGTTTGTAGTAAAACTGCACTAGGGAATTCCTTCATAACGTAAAATAATTGGATAAAAAAAAGAACGGACAATGTTTGATCCAGCTAATAAAAAGAACCCAGTCCCTAATAATTTAATACCCGGCCATATTAAGGATGGAAATAAATCAACATTAGTAAGATTAGTGTAGTACCTTCAAATATGTTGAATTCTTCATCAATTTGAAGGAGCTTGAAGGCACTTCGAGCACGCCAACCCTCTTCTTTTGCTTTTCGGTAGTAGATATCCTGTGAACAAATCCACCCATTATTAGAAGTCGAACATCAGACAACCCCAGAAATGGTAAAAAAGAAATTCAAACATAAACAAACAAACTCACCCTCTTATCCCTTGATGCTTTGCCCATGTTGAAAATACCTGATTGTCTCGAGGTAGTAAACCTAAACTATAAGACCAATATTTGTACCAAAAAATAACAAAAGGGCGGAACACAATGCTGTGACAAAGCAAGCGCAATTCTTCACTTCCTTTGGATCAATCACAGTTTGTGAAGGAATAATGAGAGAACAGGCCACAAAAACTGAAGAATTTAGATTTCCCAATCAGAAAGATGTTTAGCAAGAAAATGACGTAAAGAATAAAGTATGTTATCCTCCTTTCCTCTCTTTCAAACATGAGATATTTTCTCTCTCTCTCTCTCTCTCACACACACACACACACACACACACACACAAAATTGAAGAATTTAGATTCCCCAATCAGAAAGATGTTTAGCAAGAAAATGACGTAAAGAATAAAGTATGTTATCCTCCTTTCCTCTCTTTCAAACATGAGATATTTTCTCTCTCTCTCTCTCTCTCTCTCTCTCTCTCTCTCTCACACACACACACACACACAAAAAAAATTTTTTGAAGAATTTAGAATCCCCAATCAGAAAGATGGTTAGCAAGAAAATGATGTAAAGCAGAAAGTATGTTACAAAAACTGAAGAATTTAGATTTCCCAATCAGAAAGATGTTTAGCAAGAAAATGATGTAAAGAGGAAAGCATGTTATCATCCTTTCCTATCTTTAAAACATGAGAAATTGAAAATCCATATGCTAGCAATAAATAACACAAAAAATGTTCTAATTGTTCATTAATTTATAATTCCAAATTTTACACTCCACTAAAACTAATTTCTTACCTTCATATGCATAATAGTGTTTAATTTTTTCAAGAAATAATTTCATTTTCACAATTCAACTCATGCATCACATGGGTTTGCTGTTAGACATAAACTACAATAGAAAAACTAAGCTTCCAACAAATTATGGTAAAATCCAAAAGTGAAAATATGCTTCTTTTCGCTCAGGTGAAAGCTACCTAAGGTGAGAGCTACAACAATTGTAGAAGTGTGATGGTATGTTACAGTTGAAAGAATTACAAGACTTGATCTCAAGAGTTGCATCTATGTCTTTTGGCATATCAGTCAGGTTCATAAAACACACATTAAAAAATATTTATCCCCCATTTTATTCTATTTTTCCCCTTAAACTCGAACACCCATGTGAATATTCTCTCACATTAGCAACCCTTATTAACAAGAGTTACACTACTCATATTGAATCAATTTCTTACTTTCCATTAACAATAAATGAAAAATCCTAATATGACAATATTTTGAGAACCCAACTTCTAATCAGTCTTTCCTTCAAACACCTTGAGTGCATTTCGAAAATCTACCTCATCCACCTAACCAAACGAAGATAGAAGAAGCATAAAACAGAAATTTTGCCAAGGAAAGACAATAGAAGTGAAAAACAAAAAAACACATAAAAAAGAACTTATAGTCCTATGAAAGAATAAAATCAAGTTTCCATGAACAAAGACAATTCCTAATATGATAATATTTTGAGAACCCAATTTCTGATCGGTCTTCTCTACCTCAGTAACTTAACCAAACGAAGATTGAGGAAGCATAAAACAGAAATTTATGTTAAGAAAAGACAATACAACTACAAAATAGTCCTATGTGACAGACAACAATAAAAAAATTTAAAAAAAAAAAACAAATTTCCATGAACAAGGGCACCAAGAGCAAAAACAACAATCCACAAAAAAATCAAATAAGGCAGAACCAGTTTAAGAGACTTGGTAAATTGACATTATTAAGTCCCATTTAAACATTCATAACAAGCACCCAAGTTAAACACTAAACCCCAAATTGAAAAGCCCCAAATTTTGAAATTGAAAAACCCTAAGCCCTAATTTTCAAATTGAAAAGCCTCAAATCAAAACTCAAAACCCTAGTATCTAAACATGCACCTGAAATTGGACGGTGGGAGGGATAGGTGCGAGAGCTCCGGTCGAAGGGAGAGGTGAGATGACTCCGTTTGCTTCGTTCGCTGGTCTTCGTCGACCGGAGGGAGAAGCGAAGACGAACCGGGCTGCGAGGGAGGTAGCTCCAAAGGACTGCTCGAGCAACGCAATGGCCGTCACGAGCGAAGCAATGATTGTTGCTCCGAAGGACTGCTCTTCCCTCCGTCTCTCTTCATGGTCTCTTTTCCCTCCATCTCTTCTTCGTCTTCTCTCTCTCTCTCTCAAACACATCTCACTGTTCTCTCTCTCGAACACATCTCCCTGTAGTCTTTTTCTATTTTCCCCTTTTTCTTTTTTTTGGGACAGGGAGTAGAAAATTAGACAAAATTTTATGAGGAAATTTTAATTGAGGCAAAATTTTGCCGGGCTTGTTTCAAATATTGTCAAGAAATTTGAGACAAAATTTTGTAGTAAAAATTAGTTTTAATTTATATTTTTTTAAGTTTTATTATTCATATTTGGTTTAATTAATATTTTGAATGAAAATAAATAAATTTAAGAAATTTTATGATTTTAATTAATAAATAATAATTCTATTAAAAAATAATTATTATTATGTTCTTAATAATTTATTATTCAATTATTAATATTTTTTTTGAACTGATTATTAATAGTTATTTCAAATCGTAACAAATTTAATTAATATTAGGAAACATTCAAAACTACGTAGTTTTGATACAAAATATGATATTTTCCTTGCTGTGACCACAATTTATTGGTCACCAAAGGTTTTGAGATCTCGTTTTTTTTTTCCCCTCTCCCGCTATTACCTTCCATGATCATAACAGGGGGAGAGAGAGAGAGAGATACCTGTTGTAGCGAGCGCCGGCCGGCGACGTGCAGGTTAGCCGATGCGACAAAGATGGACGGACGATGTAACAGAGATGAATGGGTGAGGGGGTGACAAAGAGAGATATAGAAAGTAAAATACATGCATCTAAACAGAGAGATATCTATATCTTGGTTCAATTTTATTTTTTATTGATTTTAAGTATTTGGTGACGAAATTTGGTTTTCCTCTCTAAAAATAATACATTTGGAGATGAATTTTTTTTTTTACAATGGTGACGAAAAATTTCGTCTCCAAAATGGCGCCAAATCTTCCGCCAAATTTTTCGTTTTATTTGATTTTAAACATTTGGTGACGAAATTTGGTTTTCGTCACAAAACAGTTTCTCACCCTGGGAAAAAAAAAAGAAGGAAAAAATAATTTAGGAAAACTAATCCCAAAAAAAAAGAAGAAGAAGAAGAGAGGGAAAAATAATAGACTATTTTTTTTCATCACTGCTTAATATGTCAAAATTCTTCTTTCAAAATTAGTGACAAAACAATTTTCTCACTAAAAGGCCTAAAAATATTAAAAATTATTAGTGACGAAAATATATTTCTCACCAAATGGTTTTAAAATATTTAAAATCAAATTTTTCAAAAAAAAAAAAGATTATTGGTGACGCAAATATATTCCTCATTATTAATTTTTTAATTGTTTCACCATACCAATACAGAGAATAAGAGAAAGAGACACCAGAAAAAGAGCAAAGAGAAATCACGTACCAAATCACCGAGCGAAGAAGATGTGGCAGTTACCGGCAAGGCTACTAGTGGCGGTGACGATCGGCAAGGCTAATAGAGACAATGATGGCGATCGGCGTGGTGGAGGAGCAAGAGGTAAGACAAATTAATACCCTATTTTCAAAGAGAGAGAGATATAGATGATAAATAGAAAAGGGGTAAAAAAAATTAATACCCTTTTTTTTTTTTATTGCCGCTCAATATATCAAAAATTTCCCACCAAAATTGGTGACAATATTATTTCCTCACCAAAAGATATCAAAAATATTAAAACGTTTTGGCGACGAAAATATATTCCTCACAAATAATTTTATAATTAGTGAAAAAAAATTTTCTCACCAAAAGTCCCAAAATTTTGGCGCCACCAAAAAAAAAAAAGCGGGAAATTTTTTGGTGATGAAACTTAATTTTTCCTCACTTAAAATGAAGTATTTATTGACGAAAATAAATTTTGTCACCTACCATTTTCATTTTTTTATTATATGTGACAAAATTTATAAATTTCTCACGAATTATTTTTATTTAGTGACGAATTTTATTTTCTTCACTAGTTTTCGTCACCGTAGGTTACTTTTGTTGCAGTGTCCCTTGGCTCACCTACAAACACATGAATGAGCGTGAGCGAAAGCCCAGTGAATAATATCAAATAAAAGAATTATACAAATGGTATGTAGACCAACATGCTTCAAACGGCCTTGGACCCAATTCATATTTTTATTTATGTCAAACTGGCCTTTGGCCCATTCATTTATTCGTATCAAACTGGCCTTTGGTCCATTCATTTATTCATGTCGAAACAGCCTCTGGCCCATTCATTCATTCGTGTCAAAACGGCCTTTGGCCCATTCGTTCATGTCAAAACGGCCTCTGGCCCATTCATTCTAACATTCAGATCAAACTGGCCTCTGGCCCATTCATTTATTCATGTCGAAACGGCCTCTGGCCCACTCATTCATTTGTGTCATAACGGCCTTCGACCCATCCATTCATTCGTGTCAAAATGCCTTTGGCCCATTCATTTATGTCAAAACGGCCTTTGGTCCATTCATTCATTCTTGTCAAAACGGCCTTTGGCCCATCCATTCATTCGTGTCAAAACAGTCTTTGGCCCATTCATTCATGTGAAAACGGCCTCTGGCCCATTCATTCATTCTTGTCAAAACGGCCTTTGGCCCATCCATTCATTCGTGTCAAAACGGCCTTTGACCCATTCATTCATTCTTGTCAAAACGGCCTCTGGCCCATTCAGTCTAACATTCAGATCAAGCTGGCCTCTGGCCTATTCATTTATTCATGTCGAAACAGCCTCTGGCCCATTCATTCATTCGTGTCAAAATGGCCTTTGGCCCATTCTTTCATTCATGTCAAAATGGCCTTTGGCCAATCCATTCATTCGTGTCAAAACGGCCTTTGGCCCATTCAATCATGTCAAAACGGCCTCTGGCCCATTCATTTATTCTTGTCAAAATGGCGTCGGGCCCATCCATTTGGCATAGCAAAATTGCCCACCAATCGAATCAATGAACTTATAAAACTTACATAGAAGTAAATAATTTGGACAATAACATATTTCAGATATCTTTGTTAAGATATTACTCACAGTGATCGGCTGGTTGATTTGCCCTGGAGCTTGACCCTACACATCACATAACACGTATGGGTCACAACCGATTCAATCCGTTCTTTAATTCACATATTCCTCTTTAGGCTTCATTCTTATCTTCTTATCTCATTTACAAAGTTTAACGCATGCCTAAGAGTACTTAGAAGTGAAAGGGAACGGAAAACGAAACACAAAATGCACTTTCA